TTTTAAGGTATGATTTTGAAGTACCTGATCATTTTTTTTTCTATGATTTTATTTTTGAGTAATCTCTACACCCAGCATGGGGCTCAAACTTACAACCCCAAGATCAAGAGTTACACACTCTACCCAGCCAGGCACTCCTAGAAGTAAGTACCTGATCATTTCCTTAAGATGTTTTAAGTAAAGGAGTAGCAGATCCCAGTAATTCATCCTTATTTAGTTTCCCAATTTTTTTTTAAAGTAGGCTCGGGGTGCCTGGGTGGCTCAGTCAGTTGGGCTTCCGACTTCAGCTCAGGTCATGATCTCACAGTCTGTGGGTTTGAGCCCCGCGTCGGGCTCTGTGCTGACAGCTCAGAGTGTGGGGCCTGCTTCAGATTCTGTGTCTCCCTCTCTCTCTGCCCCTCCCCTGCTCATGCACTGTCTCTGTCTCAAAAATAAACAAAAACATTAAAAAAAAAAATTTTAAGTAGGCTCCATGCCCAGTGTGGGGCTTGAACTCACAACTCTGAGAACAAGAGCTGCATGCTCTACTGACTGAACCAGCCAGGTGTCCCTATTTAGTTTCCCAATTTTTTTTTCTTTTTTTGAAGCAGGGGGGAGCAGAATGAGAGGAAGGGAGAGAATCTTTTTTTTTATGGTTATTTTTGAGAAAAACAGTGACCACACACACACACACATGTGCGCTCGTGAGTGGGGGTGAGTCAGAGAGAGGGAGACAGAATCTTAAGCAGGCTCCACGTCCAGCGCGAGCCTGAGCCCTACGTGGGACTCCATCTCACAACCTTGAGATCATGACCTGAGCCGAAATCAAGAGTCAGACACTTACCTGACTGAGCCACCCAGACACCCCCAGTTTCCCAATTTTTAAATCAGCTAGTCACCTAATAGAAAACTAAAATCCTTAATAAAGACTTAAAGGCAAAACTATAAATTTCTTAGAGGAAAACACCTTCATATCTGGAGGGTAGGAAAATATTGATCAACTCTACTACATTAAAATCTAGACGTTCTGATCAAAGGTAACATAAAGAGAGTGAAAAACCATACAGTGGAAGAGGACATTCCTAATACATACAACCAGATAATCGGCATCCATAAGACAAAGATAATCTTATAAATCAATGAGGAAAAGGCAGAAAACTCAGTAAGAAAAATTAGCAAGAGACTTGAACAGGCACCTAAAAAAAAGAAGCTATTCAAGAGGCCAATAAACAAAAGGTGCTTGGTTTCATTAGTCATCAGGAAACTCAAGTAAAAACAACAAGGAGATACTGCTAAAGAACCATAAGCTTGGCAAAAATCAACACGTCTAATCGTACGAAGAACTGACAAAGTTGTAGGCCCATAAGGAGTCTCAAACACTGCTGGAGGACGTATAGACTAGCACAATTCTGAAAAACAGTTTAGTATGATCCAGTAATTAAGTATGGTATCCATCCTAAGGAAATATATGTTTAAGTGTGCCAGGATTCATGTACAAGGAAAGATCACAGAAGTATTGCTTCGGCAAATAACAGCAAGTGTTTTCAACAGTGGAATGGATAAAATGGATATAATCCTAACGTGCATTGACAGTAACGAAAATGAATGTTGTGCTACACACAACATGAAGGACCCTACAAACCTAGTCTTGAGCAAAAAAGCAAAACTCCACAAAAAAATCATCCTATTTAGGGGCGCCTGGGTGGCGCAGTCGGTTAAGCGTCCGACTTCAGCCAGGTCACGATCTCGCGGTCCGGGAGTTCGAGCCCCGCGTCAGGCTCTGGGCTGATGGCTCAGAGCCTGGAGCCTGTTTCCGATTCTGTGTCTCCCTCTCTCTGACCCTCCCCCGTTCATGCTCTGTCTCTCTCTGTCCCAAAAATAAATAAACGTTGAAAAAAAAAAAATTAAAAAAAAAAAAATCATCCTATTTCTACAAAATTCAGAAACAGGCACTAAGTTATATTTTTCAAGGAGGTATCCTTATGTTGTAAAACTGGAAACAAAAACAAAGAAATGATTATCCTAAAAGTCAGGATAGTTGTTACTCTGGAGAAAGCAAAGGAGGTACCTCTGGGGTGCCAACCAAACCCACCTCCAACATTTACAGGGCCTCAGCAAGAGTACAAATAGAGGCCCACATACCCCATGGGTAAATATTTAAAAGATATGAAGCAAGCTTACAAACTATTACATAAAATCTGATCTATCTTCCTATCATGACAAACATACCTTTATAATTGCCTGGAAAGACAGACCCATACAGAGAATTTTTGGATTCCTTAGCATTCCACGCAGAAACATGGTGGTACAGAGAGAAACAGCCACTGGCCCACTGCTCATCACCCCCTTCTCCATCCCACACTGCAAAGGACCTCGCACCTCCACTCACAAGTCCAAGCTCCACCGCATACCCTACTCTCCACAAACAGCCACACTTAGGCCATCTCTTGTCTACACCAGCAGCCTAGTCCACCCTCAGAAGGACGGACCCTAGGAAAGGGACCTACACAGGCTCTGGAAACAGGCTCAGAGCCATGTGGGCAAGAAATTCTGAGATCCTAGGTACTTAAGTGTGGTCTACCATGGAAGGGTTCAGGCTCTAAGTGGGCATGTCCCATGGGCTCCACAGACTCTCTGCCCCACAGAAGATGGCCAAAGCAAGGCCCACTGAAGCACAGGGCCAGGGAAGAATTCCTCTTGCCAGGAACAATATTTCCTTAGACCCATGCAACATTCTATTTCTTAGCCTGGACAGCAGTAACATGGGCACTGACTTGCTAATTGTTTGTTAAAATGTACATATAAGTTTCATGTACTTCTTGCCACAAATAATGGGATAGACATCATGTGCATGCTGATCTGATACACAATATCACAAAGAGACCCCTGCCAAAAATCCATAACCTGAATCTAATCATGAGATGATCAGATCCAAATCTAGGGACTTTCTGCAAAACAACAGACCTAACTTCTTCAAAATGTGTCTGTCATAAAAGGTAAAGAAAGACTGCAAAACTATTCTTTACTGAAAGAAACTAAATACATGTGAAACTGAATGGACTGCATGATCCTGAATCGGATTCTGGATCAGAAAGGAAAATGCTATAAAGGATACTACTGGGACAACTGATTACATTTAAATATGGACAACTGACATTATATCAACATTAAATTCTCTGATTTCAGTAATTGTACTAGAGTTATGTAAGAAAATTCTTAGGAGATATATGGTGAAGTAGTTAGGGGTAGAGGGTCATTATGTCTGCAACTTATTCTCAGATGGCTCAGCAAAAATAATATGTATACACATACAGCGTGTTAAAGCAAATATGACAAAATGGTAACAACTGATGAATCCAAGGAAAGGGCATACGCACTTGACCATTCTTATAACTTTCATTTTTTTTTAATATTTTCATAATAAGTTCTCAAAATACAATAAAGGGTTAAACAAGAAAGACGTTGTCTATGGGAAGAGGAACCAGGTGACTGGGTAAGAGAATTATGGTAAAGACTTTACATTTTGCCTATTTTTCCATCATATTGGTACGTTTCGCATTTTGTTCATATTCGAAAAAAATTTCATCTTAACTTCAGGGGGGGGGAGAAATCCTAGAACATTGCAAGAGGAAATATTAGCAACTGTAGAAATAAGAAAAGGTTTGTCCTTAAATCTGTCAAATCATAGCCATCGTCAAATGGTCACTCTGTAAAGTGAGCCTACCGAGAAGCTGCTGAAGGGGCATACCTAATAGCAGATGCAGAATAAGAGGCATAACTTGACATGGATATTAACATTCTACTTCTGGAATGACCACAAATTTGTAACATGTTTCACAGCCTTCATTCCATAATCCAGAAAGTGAAGCACACAGTTATCTCACTTTTGATATTAAGAGAAATTCATGCATTTTAATATTAGTGACCTTCTGCAAAGCCCTGCAGGTGACATGAAGAGATGTGCCCCACATGGTCACTGCCCTCAACTTAGCAGAGTAAAGAAGACTTGAACCAAAAATCTTGGTTATCCCACACAGTAGCTATGTGATCTTGGGAAGTTATTTGACCAGAGATTCCATTTTCTCATAGGTATAATGAAGATGCCACCCAGCTACCTTTAGAGGGCCGTTGTAAGGATGGACTATGTAGGTCAAGCACATAGGACAACAGAACAACAGAACAACAGAGACTGAACCAAAGGCAGCTATGTCAGGAGTGTTACAGTCTGACATAATGAAACTGAAAATCTTGCATAGCCAATTAAGAGCATAACTATCACTGGAATCCTGATTATTCCAAGTTTCTAATCCAAGTAAATTCACTCCCCTTAAAACACCAAGTAATATAACACAATCGTCTGTGTGTGTGGACCAAGAGTTGCTCCCTGACTACCTCTGGCAAATGCATCACTCTCTTCCTCACCAAGAAAAAGAGCACGAGGTTAGAGGGTTATTTTTTTCTCATTAACCAAGAAAGATTTTAGGTTGAGAAATAATATACTCAGCCTTTGCAAGATACTCTTACTTTATCAAGACCCTGTTTGTCCAGGAATACATGTCCAAATTATTCCAAAAACTAAAGCCAGAGGAGGTACTTCCTTCAACTAATTTCCAACCTTCTTTTACCTGCAGACATAAAACTTATACTACATTAAATCCATTTCAAACATCTTCCAGTTTAGTGGCCGCGATTGCCCTTTATATTATTTTGTAACCTAATTCTTAGCCTTCCTCATTAGCAAGGTGACAATAGTTCATATTGAACAGCTGACTTCCAGGCATCTGTGAAAGATACAAACCGAAACCCAATGGTTACAATGAAAAGAGTCATGTTTCAAGCCTCTTATAGCAGTGACTCTAAATTGTTCACTGTGCTTATTCTCCATTCCTTGGGATGATGCGGGCACATATAAAAGGAAAAACAACTAAACATAAAGATAAACCACTGTTTGAAATATCTGCATACCCCACATGCACAGCTATCTCACACAATAAACATATCATAATGGAACGTGCAAATACCTGAAAGAGTGCCACCTGTCCTAGGATAGGCCACTTCAACATACACTTCAAACGTGGTCTCTGGGTTCTGCCTACAAAAGAAACAGATCGTGATTACTGACAAGGATTGAGGCAGCGTGGTACAGAACATGTGGGCTATGGTATAAAGCAGACCTTCATCAAAATCATTAGCTCCACAACTTAGTAGCTTTAGCCAAGGTCCTCAACTTCTCTGAGCCATGCCCTTCCTCATTTCTAAAATGAAAATACCTAACCAGAAGAATTATTGTGAAACTTAAAACACACAAAAACTGTCTAGGTTCAATGCCAGGCAAATAACAGGCTAGCCGTTACTATGATTTCATAGGTGTCGTATTTTGAATTTACACAGCTGTATCTCCAAAGCCACAGGTAGAATTCTGAGGAAACTCAAACCCAGGCAACACTAGCACAAAGTAGCTTTCTCACGTATTCCAGGATACAATACATATGATGAAGTCAGCTTGCTTATTTTCACTTAAAGACTGAAACAAGGGGCGCCTGGCTGGCGCAGTCGGTTAAGCGTCCGACTTCAGCCAGGTCACGATCTCGTGGTCCGTGAGTTCGAGCCCCGCGTCGGGCTCTGGGCTGATGGCTCAGAGCCTGGAGCCTGTTTCCGATTCTGTGTCTTCCTCTTTCTCTGCCCCTCCCCCGTTCATGCTCTGTCTCTCTCTGTCCCAAAAATAAATAAACGTTGAAAAAAAAAAAATTTTAAAAAAAAATAAAATAAAATAAAAAAAAAAAGACTGAAACAAGAGAAACAGTACCCTACACCACTAGGCTATTACGAAGACAAGACGCTAATCTAAATAAAAGATACCATTCCTGGGGCACCTGTGTGGCTCAGTCGGTTAAGCGTCCGACTTCGGCTCAGGTCATGATCTCGCGGTTCGTGGGCTTGAGACCCACGTCGGGCTCTGTGCTGACAGCTCAGAGCCTGGAGCCTGCTTCGGATTCTGTATCTCCCTCTCTTTCTACCCCTCCCCTGCTCATGCTCTCTCTCAAAAATAAACACTAGAAAAAAAAATTTTTCTTAACGTAACATTCCCACAAAGGGGGCTTCACCAGTATCGGCAATGGCAAGCATATGAGTGTTCATTATTATATCCTTTTACCTCTTTATGTCATAAATATTTCATAATAAGTTTGAAAAAGATCACAGCACTAACAGGATATTAACAGTTGTTAATTCTGAGTGACGAGAACATCGGGTTATATTATCTTTGAATTTTCTCTTTGATTCTGAAACTATAGTAAAAAGGTATTTCCAGATTGGGACACTTGGGTTGCTAAGTGTCCACTCTTGATTTTGGCTCAGGTCATGTTCTCTCACAGTTCGAGAGATAAAGCCTCCAAGCTGCTTGGGATTCTCTCTCCCTGCCCCTCCCCCACTCTTCTCTCTCCCTCCCCCGACCCCCTCCCTCTGTCAAAATAAACAAACATTTAAGGGGCGCCTGGGTGGCTCAGTAGGTGGAACATCCGACTTAAGCTCAGGTCATGATCTCCAGGTCCATGAGGTCTGAGTTAGAGTTAGAGCCACATCAGGCTCTGTGCTGACAGCAGAGCCTGGAGCCTGTTCTCACTCGCTCTCTGTCTCAAAAATAAACATTTAAAAAAATGATTAAATGAAATTCAGATTGACTAAATTCCAGATTGACTGAAAATCATTAAGAAAATGTTATACTTTTAATTTTTAATGTTTATTTATTTTTGAGAGACAGACAGAGCATGAGTGGGGGAGGGGCAGAGAGAGAGGGAGACACAGAATCCGAAGCAGGCTCCAGGCTCCGAGCTGTCAGCACAGAGCCCGACGTGGGGCTCGAACTCACAAACCGTGAGATCATGACCTGAGCCGAAGCCAGACACTTAACCAACTGAGCCACCCAGGCTCCCCAAAAATGTTATACTTTTAAATGTCTGTAACTGAATTGTATTCTAAACCTGGCAAGGCTCAGAGAAGAAACTGAGTCACCTGGTCAATTCTAAGGGTTAATTTCAATCAAATAAATACTTTGAATTTGCTCAGTATACTCCACGTTTCAAAATAACTCTCATTCATCTCATTTCAACCTCACTATAATCCTATGAGGGCAGGTGGATCAGTTATTACTATTCTCAACATACAGGTGAGGAACCTGAGGCAAAAAGATTCTATGTGACCTGCCAGTGGTCAGAATTCACCCTCCTGGTGCACAAATTCCGTGCTCCACTGATTCTAAGATGAACTTTTTTCCCCACATTTCCACACCTCTTACAATCTATTGCATCTTACAATGCTAAATGGCAGCATTTTTTTTCTTTCTTAGTAATACATATAACAGTGCATTTTACAAATAATGACATCTTAGATTCAATAAAATATGTTAATACTCCCTCTTCTTAGAAGTAAGAGAACTCTGTTTTGTCGATCAAGGGTCTATTTAGTTGTCTTGTGAAGATCATCACTCCTTCACTAAAGAGAAACTTTAAGATTTTGCTTTAAATAAGTACCTACAGTGAAAAGAGTTGGCTGCTCTAAAGTTCAAGGTATTTAAATACAAGGTATTTGGCTCAGGGCTCCTTGATCTTGTGGTCAAGGAGTTCGAGCCCTGTGTCAGACTCTCTGCTGACAGCTCAGAGCCTGGAGCCTGCTTCAGATTCTGTGTCTCCCTCTCTCTCTGCCCCTCCCCTGCTCATGCTCTCTCTCTCAAAAATAAACAAACATTAAAAAAAATTTTTTTAAAGAGCCTTAAAATTTTTTGTGCTTTTTTCCCTGCAGGAGGGTACAAAAAGCTCTACCAGGTCAGCATCCTACGGCCACCAAATATTTGTGGAAAATGTCATATGGAAACATGCCTTTCATTCAAAGGATCTCAAAGTGGAGTGTTTGATGAAAGAAAAGGAATGTTCTTAGGTCATCTAAAGAACATCAGGAAGATTCCTTCTAAGACCTAAACAAAGCTTTCTTAAGCCTATTTTGCAACTGGCTTTATTTCATCTCAAAATTTCATTTGGAAAATTAAAATAACAAAAAATGCGCATAGAAAGGTGTTACATACCAAAGTTTTAAACACTGGAGCTCTGATACACTAACCTGTGCCACTAGCTTGAGGCATTTTGTACAGACCTACTAAGTGAAGAGTGTCCTAACGTTGTCTATACGGTCTCTGCTGCTTCTCCTCCCTTTCTCTAATCCACTTCAACCAGGCTTCTGAACCCACCACAACACTGCAACAACTTGTCACGATTACCAATGACCTCCACATTGCTAAAATGTGCTAAAATGACCAATTCTCAGGGTTTGTCTTAATCTCTCAGCAGCATTTGACACAGGTGATCAATTTTTCCCTACTTGAAACACTTTCTTCTCTTGCCTTCCAAGATATCACTCTCTCTATTGGTTCTCTTCCTACCTTACTGGCTGCTCCGTTACTAATCCCCTTGCATTAGGGTAATGCAAGAGAGGGTAAGCTCCCCTACCCTCGAATTTAGTCCTGGACCTCTCCTGGTCTCCACTCATTACTTAAGATGATCTCATTCAGCCTCATGGCTTTAATTACCATGCAAATACTGACAAGCCCCAAAATCATGTCTCCAACCTTCCCCGACTCCAGACTCCCTTATTCAACTGCCTACTCAACATCCCCACTTGGATAGACATTAGAAGCATTTCTAATTTAACAAATGGTGCTTTTCTTCCTTAAATCCGCATCACCTGAAATCCACCAATTATTCAGACCAAAAAAAACCTGCTATCATCTTTGACTCCTCTGTTCAATATACCACAATCATTTACATGTCATAAGCAGCCAATACCGTTGGTTTGATCTTCAAAATATATCCAGAATCTGAATGCTTCTCAGCATCCCAACCCTACTATCCTTGCCATGTCACCATCATCTCACCTCGATGATTATAATACTCTCCTGACTGATCTTGCTTCCCTCTTGCCCTCCTTCAGTCAGATTTCACCTTAGTGGCCAGTAATCCATTTATTGTAAAGGTCAGTTTATGTTAGGCCTGTGCTCAACACCTCCCCAAAGTGTTCCATATCACACAAAGTCAAAGTCAAGTCTTAGTTCTGGAGATAGATGATGGGGATGGTTGCACAACAAGATGCACATATTTCAAACTACTGAACTGTACACTACAGAAATGGTTAAGATGGTCAATTTTATATGTATTTTATCCTAATTAAAAACAAAACAAAACAATACAAACCTACAACCCAGCAATTGCACTACTAGGCATTTCTCCACGGGATACAGGTGTGCTGTTTCAAAGATACACATGCACCCCCATGTTTATAGCAGCACTATCGTCAATAGCCACAGTACGGAAAGAGCCCAAATGTCCATCGATGGATGAAATGGATAAAGAAGATGTGGCACATATATACGATGGAGTATTACTCCGCAATCAAAAAGAATGAAATCGTGCCATTTGCAACTACGTGGATGGAACTGGAGGGTATTATACTAAGCGAAATTAGAGAAAGACAAAATCATATGACTTCA